CCACATTTAAGGAGGTGGTGAACTTTGGGTGACAGGAGGGAGTCAGATGAAGCATTGGCCCTGCCCTAGGAAACAGTGGCAGGAAGTGCGGAGTGTTGCCAGTCAAGGCAGGGCTGCTCTTGTCCCCTCACCACTTGCTAGACAAGCCTGCACTGCTGCCTGTGGGCGCACTTTGGGAAGCAGCTCTGGAGCACCTCCTAGGGGGAGCAGGGATGATGGCTATGAGGGCCACCCTGGGAACCAACTCACCACCTTGGGTGACTCACTGCTATTTGGTGCAGTGGTTCTCAACCTGTGGATCACAACCCCTTTGGGGAGCGAACGACCCTTTCCCAGGGGTCCCCCAATTCATAACAGTAACAAAATTACAGTTATGAAGTAGCAATGAAAATCTCACTGTTGGGGGGTCACCACATGAAGAACTGTAGGAAAGGGTCGCAGCACGAGGGAGATTGTGAACCCCTGGGAGAGGACTGTTCCAAGTGCTCTTACTCCTCTTAAGCAGTAGCTGTACAGCCACCCACCTCTTGGGGAGGAAGAGCTGTTCACTTACTCTGTTGGCATCAGTAATGGCTTACTTGGAGAAGGGGCTTACTTGGAGAAGGGGCTCTGCTGACTGCAGTCACGTGTCACTCAACGCCCGTTTCACAGATTCATTAAGTGAAATGGGACGTGATGCAATATGGGTGCTGGATGAACACGCCTATCTCGGGCAGTAAGTTACTCATTTTCTAACTGTCAGGGTGTTTAACCTTTTGTGTCACTCCCAAATCAGTTCTCCGTCTTCGCCTCTAGTTGCTGCTATGACCATGACTGGCTATCTGAGTTTGGGAATCATGACGCACTTCATGGTAACATTTTTGAAAAACAGAGTAGTACAACACGCAAGAGACATGCAATGAATGAGATTAGAGGCTGCTACCTATGAGCTGAAGTACACACTGCCATGTGGTAAACTTTTTAAATAGGGAGCGTTCACGCTAAAACACAGAAAGTACAGTACATACATAAACAGTAACAGGTGTTTATGATGACTACCACGATCTAGATGACAGGTACTGTCTGTACTGTATCATTCTACACTTGGCAGCACCATCGCCTTGTATGGAAAAGACAATGAGACGTGGCCCTTGTTTACAGCAAGCTGCTGCACATGCTAGTCTGGCAACATCTGCCAAGTCCCATTCTCCAGTTGGGATATGTGAATTCTCTTACAAACTTATAGGGGGTCAGACGAGTATGGGGTTGGACCTGGCCCCAATGGA